AAAGCAAAGCCCGCAAGGTTAGAGGTTAAGGTTTAACTTCTGAAATTTTTTTTTAAAAAAAAAAAAAAGTAACTGTGGAGAGGAACATCAAGACGAAAACAATGGAACGAGATCGAAGGATAAGGGGGCAGGCTAAAAACAAAAAAGAAACAAGCATAGGTATTAAAAAATGGAGGAAAATATATATTTATATATATATAGGCAGAATAGGGAAAGTACAAGGACAGGTACATAATACAAGGGTGGCCAATGATGCTAGGAGATAGTAATTAAGATGCGCTCCTGGAAACAGACTTGCCATCTTTTTTTTGTTTTGATCGTGCAGAAAACCACAGGGTCTGTGAATCTGCAGCAAGATCTCTGATTCTCTGTCTATGATCTGCATACCTCAGGATCCGAATCTCTGACCCTCCATTCCTCTTCCCCATGCCTATCCTCTCTCTTCCTTCCCATACTAATTCTGATGGCTTTCATGTTGAGACAATAAATTTATATATATATATATATATTCTTCACGACAAAATATGGTGAAACACACCAGCAACAAGCAAACCTACTCAAATACATGTCTTTATCCATTTGGTTCCATCTTTCCCTCAGATGATGCATCTTTCTTGGACGGCCCTACAATAATAATGCATTATATTGTTGCATGCATGCAACTACTCGGACGACATAATCCAATAAAGTTCCGTCAATTCAGTGCTGCAAAAACATTAATTTGGAATCTGGAATTATGACACACATTATTTGTGGGCTAGCTAGTAATATAACACAAACATTCATTTGACCTCAAACGTTATATCACTATTTTTTTAAAAGATAGGCATAACATGTTTGGCATTGCGATCTGTTGGAGGTTGCTTGAAAACAAGACAACAATCCAATTTTAATGCAGAAAAACTCAAGGTACAGAAAACGTTGAAAATTGTGAAGCAGAAGTAACAGCGAGTGAGAAACCCCAAAACATGGAAGCCATGGCCCATGGATGAAACTTTTCACTGTAATGCATAGGTGAAGACTAAAGAGAGGAAGAAGGGCCTGTCGTTGGAATTTGAAGCATGACCAGCAGCTGGAATAGGTCAGTGCAGGCTGCTAAGGAGCTTGCCAGCAATTCAAATGGTACGTACCACTTCTGCCTTTACCTCAGTTCCCCATTTTCCTCTCTCAGCTTTTCAATTTTCAGCTTCTCATATTCTCTTTCTCTCTCCATTTCCACTTTCCACAATGTTCATGGACATCTGCTTCTGCTTTCACAGCCTTCGTCCACCTGAATCTTTCATCACCCATATGCATATAATTCATTTATATATGTATTTATATGTTTGCGTATGGGCACAGATTACCAAAACACTGTACTAGTGATGAGAAATCCATGGACCGACTAAGCAGAAACGGACTGTACACTTAATCTTATAGCCAAAAGGTCCAAAGGCTAGGAATATATATTATTAAAACAGCAAAAACAAGTTTATATTTAGTATTCTAAACCCGAACCGCCTCTCAGATCTTTAAAGGAGTAGTTATATGATTTAAAACTAGCAGTGTAAAACTTATGTCAACTCACTGCTCAAATCATCTATTAAGAAAATAGATTAGTTTAGGATTTTTTCCCATAAATGTTTAGAAAATGATCTGTCAACTGCTTTGATGCTAAAGTGGTGATTACGCACGTATACCCAGGCATCATTCCTCAATCTTGAAATATACATGTAAGACTTGTTGGTTGATTTAAGATATATCTATGTAGTATGCATACATAAAAGAACAATAATAAGTCGATCAAGGTTAATTGTATGGAAACGATGGGAAAAAGAGAAATGAACAGTGCACTGAAGAAATAAGAAAACTGCGATGTGGCGTCTCAATCAAAGCACGGGGAGATTTAACGCAGTTGTATGGATCAGAAATTGCATGGCAGGGTCACGTCAACTTTAAACGTAATATAACATATATATATTTATATATATGGACACATAGAGAGACAGGGAGAGAGAGAAATAAGTTTGAAAAATCACCAGGCATGAGCAACCGAGCGATCACCAGCAAAATCATTATGTTCTGGTCCACCTTAATAATGTTCCCTTCCTCGTAAATACTAATTTTGCCAAGCCCTGTACGACTACATTATCATTATATCCCTTTCCCCTCTTTTCATTGGTTTAGAGATCTTTTTCAAGTGCTAATTTTATTTGTAGATCAATTTTACCTTGTCTTTAAAAAAATATCTAAGATTTGCCTATTATCCACATATATATCTTGTTATTAATTAGCTCTCATTTTATCATAGTCTTCATATACAATTATTTTTCCAGCTTTTAATATGCAATATACAACTCTCGAAACTCTAGTTTTAAGAATGAGTGTATATATTTATAATTTATTATTTTATGAAAAAACAAACTTTTTATATACAGCATGACCTCGATTCTATAATAATGGTAATGAAGTAACCCCAATATCTGAAAATAATGCTCACATAAATCTACTTGCATAATATTAGGGGCCAAAATTAAACTTATATAATGTATACGGTACTTTTACATCGAACTATCGGGATTTGACCAAATAATCAGATATAAAAATAGAATAGTATTATCCCGTATTAAATATAAGAGTTATTTAACAGTTTTAAATATAAAATCTCAATTTATAATATGTTATCAAATATCCTTATTAATAATAAGGTATTTTCATCCAAATATAATTTTAATATACATGATTGAATGAGGATGAGTTAAGAAAGTCAACACACATTTATTATAAATAACTAACTTAATTTTTTTAATCTTGCTGAATAAATTATCTAATTTTTATATTAAGAATTGAAGTACTACTTCCAATCCTAATTATAAGATCTTGTTTATAGACTATAATCAATATTTCATAATTAGGAGATGAGGTAGTGGTAGTCAAGGGACAGATTATTTGTGTACGGGGGCGCAGCTGAATTAACTGAGTCAGAGTGCGGCAGATGAATGATGCTAATTACAGGACACTAATGGCGGAAAAGCTAAAAAGACGGCTCATCTTTTCATGTAAAACACAGATTAATATTCAACCATCTCACCCCAGTTTTCCTTTCCTGCGTGCTGATGCCAGTGCTCATCCATGCGAATATCAAGGCATAGTTGAAAATCAACTCAGGAGATACTGATCCTATTTTTTTTTAATAAGATACTATTAATTAAATTATATAGTTTAAAAAAATAATTAAAATTAATTAAAATAATAAATATATAAAATTAAGCATTTTAAGTCTATTCTTATTTAATGAGAGAATAAATAAATAAAATAATAGTTGTGAGATAAAAAATGAAAGAGAATATAAAATTAATTAAAGACAAAATTAGTAAAAATACATTTACTGTTGAGACAATCTTTAGTAGGATTTTATAAAAAAATCAAACCAATTCAAATTTTGAAATCTTATAAATAAAATTAAAAGAAATATTTGAAAAGTTCTAAAAACATATTATAAATTTGGAAAAATCGCAAAAACAGACCACTGAAATATAAAAATTGCACAAAGGATCTGTTCATAAAAATTTGTTATTTGTCAAAACACATACTAATGTTATCATGAGTCCTGATTTATAATTTTTTTATTTCAGTAGTTTTTTTGTCCTTTTTTCCAAATTTTTCCCTAACGATGGAAGGAAGAGGAGAAAAAAGAGGGGGGGGGGGTGGCGTGTGGTCGCTCTCAGAGTAATGAAGGAGGGCGGGGCTTCTGCCTGATGTGGGAGCGTGGGAGCGATCTCATAATGTGATTAATATGAATATTATATATTATTTGCAATATTATAATATTCCGGTCCTTAAGATGTTGCGCATGTCTGGTGGTGTTTGTTGCCTTCCCCTTCCTCGTTATTCCCTTTCTTTGACTTTTCACTCTCACCGCCCTTTTTCCTATTTTACCCTTCTTTTCTTTCCTCAATTCTATAATAGCGGCAGATTATAGCTTTTAATTTGATTTTTTTTTACCAGCAGCTTTTAATTTGATGTTTGACGGTTGGTTCATTCAAATTATAAATAAATAAAGTGGCCATAAAATTGAAAGGATACAGCGAGTGTGTGTCTGTGTATAGATTCATGGTCTATCTCTTTAAAATATTATAAAATGATAAAAGAATGGATTTATTTAGAATTAACTTATAAATAGCTTCTTAAACATCATTTATAAAATACGAGATAAATATATAAAAAAAATTTTTATGTCGGCTTATATAAAGTTAATTAAAAATGTTTTTTGAACAGGAATACAAATAAATCCAAGGCTATGCAGACAGTAGCCAAAGTCAAATTGAAAAGAGAAGCACCATTCCTTCTATTCTGCACCAACGCCCAATCATTACTTCTTTCTTTGGGCCCTCTTTTCAATTCCAACCTTTTTCCCCCTTTCTTTCTTTTTCAACTTTATATGTACAATTAGACATTAAGATACACGCAAACATGTTAATCTTAGCTTTTAATTTTATAAGTTCATCTGCTGTTACCATACTAAGACAACTTGTTCATTGATAACTGCTGTTTCATTTATTTCTTATTTATCCACATTTTCATTTTAACAGTCTAAATCTTTTTACATGACAACAGATATTTTTGTACATTATTCATAATCATTCCAATTCCAATGCCAATTTGTCAATCAAATCAATGTCCCACGCATATAAACAGACACAGACACACCCAAACAACCGCGAATAATCCAAGTTAGGCGTTACTTTTTTGCAGGTCTTTGGTTTCACACTGTAAAGTTGAGATGAGGAGAGAGAGAAGAAGAAATGAAGCATATATATATATATAGATGAGGGGATAATGTGATTGAAAATACTTTTTGGCAATCCTGAACAGATAAAGCATTCTTCTTAACCACAACTGTGAATCTTATCCATCCAAAAAGGACACCAAACAAGAGTGAGAAAGGGGATTATATATGATATGCATATGATTGAGCTGTGCTGGTTCTTGGAGTGATTAGAGTGAAGAATACGCCCAGATAAATACAACTCACATGCATAAAAGCAGACAAGATTTTGAGTGCCCTGTGTTCCCCGTTTCCCTTCCAAGGCGTGCCTTCTCCTTCTCCTTCTTCCTCCTCCTCCTCGTCTTCTTCTTCGTCGTCCTTTTATTCTTGTTCTTCTCTCTCTCTCTCTCTCTCTCTCTCTCTCTCTCAATCGTCAACCTCAGTGCCCTCCGTGTCTGTCTTCCTACTGATTACCAATGGGTCTGAATATATGCCGGACCGCTTCTGCTATTTCATTCGCCGACGTCCCTACCCTGCACTCTTCTTCTATCTGCACCATCAATACCCTTTTATACATATTTCTACTTCCATTACACTATAACATCAACCCAACAATCAAACCCACATGCATACAAAAGCTGACCTTTTTAATCTCGTTATTTTCAGAGTCCAGGATTAAGTCATCATTTTTGTTCTTTCATTATTCTGCATGTTTTAGGAATAAAACTTTTTTTCCTCTGAAAACACTGCCCTTATTCTGATTGATTGTCATATACTAAAGGAAAAATTAGAGATAAATCCCTTGTTGCAAATTTAATTAGTAAATAGTCCCTACAATGATTGATTGTGTGAGAAAAGATTAATTATACATAAAGAAAGATAAGTTGCACAAAAAAAAATGATTTGCATGAAAACAATTTGGATGTAAGAGAATTAATTTATATATAGGGAAGATGACTTGCACATAAGAAAATATCATTTGCTCAAAAGAAAATTGAATTACACATCGTACAAAAAAGATTACTGGATACAAAAAAAATATAATTACATACAAAGAAAGCTAAGTTCCACATAAAAAACAAAACAAAACTAAGTTGCATAAAATCTTGAAGTCTCATTTGCTAAATAAATTTTTAACGAGGATTTATCTCCAATTTTTTCTATAATAAATTGAATATTAAAAAAAACGTGTCATGATAGGATCATATTGCTACCCTTGAGACTTTTTTTTGGATGCTAAGCATTTCATACTCTCAAAAACTTGGATAAATTGTACATGGCGTTTATCCATGAAATTATGAAAGCTGTAAAGGAGCTGTAAATTATACTATTCTTTTATTATTATAATTATACATATTTTAAAATATTTCAAAAATAAAGAATCTTAACCTCCTCAAAAGTACAGCCTAGCCGAAGAGGAAAAATAAAAAGAATCCAAAGAATAAATAAAAAATTGATTTTTTTAATAATCGTAGACAACTAGACATCGTTGGAAATGGAGAAGCCAGGTTTTGCTTAGGCTGCAAGTCAGAACACCGAAGAAGAACGGTACACTGACTCGATTCCCTTTTGATGAGTTGACCCTCTTTTTGTTTTTCAAAAAGCAACAAAATCGAAAGAAAAGGGAGGGGAAAGATAAAATAAAAGTAGACAAACGTGATACCTTGAGATTGAAACAGTAAAGTACCGATCCCAGCGAGGAGGTGATGTTGAGATGCAGAATGCTGAGCCTAAGATCTTCCAACCCAACAATGGCTCTCATCAATTGCCCCTGTCTCTTTCTGCATCGAATCTTCAAATTCACATGCGTCTGAATTACCATCACCTCTATGATCTCTGCTTCCTTCACCTCTTCTTCTTCGCCCCCAGTATAACACTCTACTTCTCCTTCTTCGTAGCTAAGCGTTGATGGTTTCACAGTCTCTCCATAAGGAGATCCAATCTCTTCGTTCTTTCTAATCCTCTTCTGCGCCTCGAGAGTTTGAAGTAGTTGCTCCAATTCCTTCACGAAATCAATTGCACCTCCGATGATAGACGCTTGGTCACCCTGAGAAATCAGACCAAAGATTGAATTTTTAACCTGAATTAGGAGAAAATAAACGATAATTTGAAGTGATGGGGTTTCGTTCAATATTTTGTCATTACCCTTTGAATATAGGAAGGAGGCATGAGTGTCCTTAGAACACTGAGATGGTCGTTCATCTGGCGTCGCCGGTTCCGTTCGACAGCAATGTGGGTCATCCTCTGGTTCTCCACTTCTTCCTTGTTCTTCACAGGTCTCGTTCTCTTTCGCTTTCTCCGTTTGGGGTCTCTGCTAGAATTTTCAGCTTGATTGGTGGGTTCTTTCTGAACCATTGTGGCTGAACGAGGAAGAAGATGAGATTCTTCGTTGTTTTCGGATTTCACTGGCGAGGGGATCTCGACAACGTCGTGTGTGACGCAGCTTTCAAGTTCTTTGGCATGGAGTTGGGTCTCCAACCTGGGTATGTGAGCTTTTTCTTCCCATGCTGGTTGTTTCTTCAGGTTCTGTAGCCTCAAAAGTGTTTGAAAATTTGCCTCTGCGAATGGGAAAAACTGCTGTGGAGATTCCACACTCTGTAACATCTGCAGAAACGGCATCTTTTCATCCTCTAAGCTCGATATATAAGGTTGTTCCTCATCCTCTGCGTTGATGAAGCCTTGCTCGAAACAATTTACTTCCAAATGCTCACCAAAGAACTGCAAGACAAGTTATTGAGAACAAATAAGATAAGAGTTATTTATCTCATTTTTCAGACTAACCCAAAAAAAGCAAAGAATGTAGCATATGCTTCCAATAGTGGGCTTCGGATTGAGGATCTCCAAAGAGAGGTGGGGCAATGAAAATCAGAACACAAATAGAATGTCAAAACAAGGAAAACACTAAACCAGTGCAGATATATATATTTCCTGGAAAATAACAGAATGTATTTAATGCAAGCGTTTTTTAGGGGAGTAAATGCAGTACTTTCCTTGATTCTAGAAATAGGTTCGAGGCAAATGAAAGGTGAAGAAGAGAGAAGAAAGACAGGCATGAACTAGAAGGTAACATACACAGGGATTGATGG